AGGTTCACAAGGAAATAGCATTTGAGACAGTCAAGTGTGGAAAATCACATCAGGCATGTGGTGGCCGAAATCGTTGATGCAGTACTGGAGGCGTTCTTGGAAGTTCGCGTAGACTCTCTCCAACATCGCTCTCTCAACCTGTGCGACTTCCACGCGAATTTCGCCCTTCAATTCGTCCAGAGTTCGGGGCTTGTTCGCGTATACTCTAGCCCTGAGGTGTCCCCATAAGAAAAAATCGCATATGGATAAATCTGAGGACCTAGGAGGCCAACGAACATCGCCAAACCTGGAAATAAGGCGACCAGGGAAAAGAGGGCGAATAACGTCCATGAATGCTCGGGCTGTGTGGGTGGTCGCCTCATCCTGCTGGAACCACACACGTCGAATTGGAACACGTCGCCGTCGTAATTCAGGGAGAAAGAAGTTGGTGATCATGTCGACGTACTTTTGGGCTGTGCAGCGGTCTTTCGTGTAACTGTTGCGGATTTTCATTTCTGATGGTTAACCAGGCTGTTTAGGTGAAAGTGAGCTTCGTCACTAATAAACAAAATGAGTTTCTCATTTTGATCGATCAGTGCTTCCATCTCACGTGCGAAGTTCATTCGTTGTGCATAATCTCCGGGCTGTAACTGTTGAACAATGGCCAATTTGTAGGGGTGAAAGCGGAGATCCATATGCAAAATTTGCCTTACCGAACGATCACTAAGGCGAAGTGCAGCAGCGTGTTTCCGGGCAGATCGAGTCGGACTCCGAAGAAAGACCTGTCGAACGCGTCAGGAGCTCGAACTGTTCGCGGCGCTCCTCATGGTCTTCTGTTGATCAGTTCACCACTCCTGCGAAGTGATTCAACCCAACGAAGGTTGATGTTTCGAGAGGGAATAGCTCTATTTCGATGAATGTTGAAGTTGCGACGAAACTCACGCTGTACGACGATGACTGACTCATTATTTCGGACGAAACAATCATAGGCGAAAACGCGGTGCTCCACCGTCCAAGACTCCATAATGACAGCTGGTAAAATAATGCTAGGATCTCACGAGTCAAACGGCACGCTCCCCACCTCTCTCGTAGACGGTGGCGGAGAGTACTACCCATCCCAAAAACGTCCGTCCTCTCTGCCGCACCCTGTACTTCACATTAAAGTTTAATGCCTTAACAAAAATAATATCTGAAAATAAGATGTATCTGCCACCAACGAAAACAATAACAACTTTCATCAATAGATTTCAGCGCGATCTCAACAGCTCAAAAACTTTTTTCAATGAAAAAGTTTTCCCGAGGGCCCCAAAGTGCCGGCCAGGCGCCTACTATAAATAACATCGCATAAGTCGCGAAATAAAACGCGTGTATGTAAAATTTATGGGGTTTCCGTAAAGCCTAGAAAATTTAAATACTTCAGCGAAACTTTACACGTAACTCCCCAACTCCCCGTTGGCGAAAGTAGCAAACAATTTTTCAGCTTTATCGTAAACATTTCAGCGACGTTAGCAGTAGCGTCACGTTAACATTGAAGCTCCGCGGTATGAGGATATAATTTATTGCTCTCGTATCAGTTGTACTGGAACTCGTAACTTTTCCACTTTTCGCAGAATTTTTCTATACGCCAAACATCTATTATTCCACTAACCAACTTCTATCTAACCACTACAATACACGCTTAGGAATTTTGTGGAGAAACCTGCGGCGTGTCTAGTATCGACATTAGCGCACTTTTGCCCGTTTTTCCCAATATACAGGGTATCCTGAATGTTGCACTTTACACAGCGTATAGGTCGCACAATTATAATATGTAAGTTTTCCTTAAGATAAGCGAGACATTAAGTTCCGAAATAGGTCATGCCGAGGCTGCCTCTCCCCTCCTACGTTAAAGGTACTATGGCTATGTGAGACCGTATCAAAATCAGACGCCGCGTGGTGTGCAGGTTAACCTACTTTGTAAGCAACACGCATTTGAAAACCGAAATTGGCATATCCCTACGACAATAACGTAGTTATCGATTTGATGTTAGTTTATTGTTATAGTGTACTGTGAGTATAATCGAGTATTCAGAACGTCAGCGTCGTCCTCGATATTTTCATCATAACTGCGCTTATATCGTACAAAGGCCGTCTGGGTGAACTCAGACAGCCCCAAATGTTGCAACTTTAGTAAGAAGTAGACAAACTCGTGTTTTGGATCGAACAGCGATAACTTCAAGCATCAATTACAAACAAAACATGTACAGGTAACAGGGCAGCACTTGATGAAAGAATGAGTGATTTTTCCCAAATCTGTGTTTAACGTTCTCCGTCCTGTTTCACCGCAAATTAACTTATTAACTTATTATGCAAACGTAGTTGTTCCTGAAACAGAAATACTCAACATTCAGGTAACCCTGTATCTTTCATATGGTTGAAACCAACAAATTCAGACTAGGTAGAAGCCTGCGATTTGTATGTCTTAAAAATCTCAATGTGTAGTCATGGTGAAAGTGCATGCCACAAATGGAAGTTAGTTTCTTGAAGGTTCTGTTATTCATATTTTTAGTGTTATTCTGTAAGAGTTCATGCTGATCAATTTTGTCACTTTGGTAGGCAATGGTAGTCAAATGAGTCAAAGTATGCACTAAAACTTTACGCGATTTTGACGACAAACAATATGCATTGCCAAGCTATTCTTAATTTATGCAAATTTCTTATTTGATGTGAGTTGGGTTGCTGAAAGCGAATTTATTTTGAACATACGGATCCAATTCATGATGTACATTTTACTATTAAGTAAAAAGTTAATAAAAGCAGGAAATACACATGACGTAGTACATTAGGGGAGTAGTGGCATGAAAGAGCCAGTTTTATAGACGTAGCCAAAAAATATACCTTTAATGAATGAAATGATTATTTTTTTAGTCAAACTATTATTTATTTATTAAAGTATATATTTCATACAAAAAAATCTAAAATAAGGTATATAAAACCAATGAAATATACGTTTTTTAAAAATGTGTGATTTGGCTCTTTCATAACATTTCGGTATTGAAAGAGCCACTAAAAGTAATGAAAGGGCCAGCTTGTATTATAACTTGAAATTGTGAAAATTATACAAACTAATAAGTATACACTATTAAAAAACAAATGAAAAGACAATTCTAACAAATTCTTTTTAAAAACTAATCATATTTTATAATAAATATAAACTTAACATATTAGAGGCGGATTATGTTTTATCAATAACAGTGTTGAAATTAAATAAAACAACAAACAACATCTTTTATCAAAAACAAAATCGTTAAATCTATCAGAACAGAATATAATGCGTATTCTTCAAATTAGAAACATGTCTTGCAAAAGAAATTAAGGTTCCCCTTAATACCACAGCATTCATGAGCCCAACCAGAACAAATTTTGCACTGAAACCAATCTTTATCACTGTCTTTATATGGTTTGCTCCAAACTACACAATCATCACTATTGTTATTTGTCTTTGGGTTTATTTTGCTTCGAACACCCTTTGTTTTTAATTCATCCAATACGATAGAGTCAGACGAATCAGAGTCATCTTGCAGAACGGAATTTTCTTTATTTATTTCTGATTTTGTTTTAAGCGTTTTTGTGGAGTCTTTTGTAGTCATTTTCTTAACAGTAACTTTTGGTTTCTTTGCACTATACTCTTTCTCCTCTATTTTTTTCCTTTCGGGAGAGTCGGTTACGATAGCAGATCACATTTTTCTATTATTTCGTTTCGTGTTTTGTCTTGGCCCCGCTTTAGAAAATGGTCTTATCATCTCCGGTGATATAATTCGTTGACTCGGATTTGCAGCCGTGGGGGTGGAGGTTGAACAATGAGAGAGTCTGATATTCTGATCTATTAGAAGCTCATTTTCTTCGCCAGCTTCAAACGATTTTGTAGAAGATGGAGGTGTTGTTTCTAAGTTTCTTTCCATACTTTCCTTATACAAGTTCAAACCATCGTTTGACTGCGGATCAAGTCTATCGGTCACATATGAAGATAAAAATGCTTCTTCACTAAATATATTAGAATTTAATGGATAAATTCCTGTTTTCAAAAATCCTTGTGTTATATTATGTGGACTGAAAGCTGGCAAATATGCTTCTTTTACAAATTGCCCAATTTGATAAATAGTAACTGTTTTTCCAGGGTTCGTCAACATCCATTCATTCATGGCAGTGCGGTACCTAGTTTTGAAAGGCCCATATACTGTGATATCTAGTGGTTGCAGTTTATGACTGCAGTGTGGTGGGAATGTAACTATTATGATGGAGTTTTGTCTGACAAATTCAACCACTCTGAGATTTACATGAGAGGTGTGATTATCCATTAATATCAATGCTGGATTCTCTTTTGAAGGCCTGACATGTATTGCAAAGTGTTCAACCGCTTTCACAAAACAGTCTTCAGTCATCCATCCAGAAACTTGAGCCAATCCTAGGGCTCCTGGCGGACCATTATTTAGCATAATATCTTTATAATTTACTCTAGGAAACACAAAAACGGGCGGCAGAAAACCACCAGCAGCATTAATAAAGAACAGAGTTGTCACCAATGTTCCTCGTTCGGCTGAGGTAACTTGCCCAATTTGTTTCGAACCCCTTTCAGCTATGACCTTAGGAGGATTGGTGACGGTGCTGCAGCCTGTTTCATCGGCGTTAAAAATCCTATGAGGAGGAAATTTGTATCTTTGTAAAACAGTGTTTAATTTCTCAAAAAGTGTGCTTACATTAGCTTTATTAAAACTTGTTGCACAGGATAGAGAAGTGCTTTCAGGTTTTCTCAGAGTTAAGTCTTTGTGTCTGCTCATAAACCCTTTGAGCCAATCATCAGTCGCAGTTTCAACTTCTTTCCATTTGGGTGGACAGATATCATTGGCTACGGCATAATCAAATCCTAGCTTCTTTGCTTGATGTCTTGTTAGGCCATGGCACATTTTAGATGCGGTGTTTAAATAATCTGCAAGCATATTCTCCTGTTCTGTTGTGAAAATACGCCTGTTCCCTATATTAGGTCAGTGTTCATATGATGAATCGCCAGACGTCTTTACTTTTTTAACGATTTTAGCTAAGTAAGCCCTCGATATGTTTAAGGCAAGTGCAGTTCTGTTTATGGACTGACCTTTCTCCAAAACTTCACTGACTGCTTCTTCAATTACCGATTTTTCGGGTCTTTTTCGTTTTTTTGAGCCAGCCTTCTCCATAATGCAGTATCTGAAGCAAATAATTTAATAATATATAAAAATGCATATTTATTATTATAATAATTTATTACTAAAACTTAAATATAGGGTTATAAAAGAGCCGGTTATGAAAGAGCCAGCTCTTTTAAGGCCTATGCACCCGGCTCTTTCATAACTTATTGGTAAAAAATATATAACCTTCAAAATAACAGCAATATAAAACCTTTTGTCGCTTAGTGTTTACGCAGTTGCAAGGCCAATTATATGCACAAACTGAATCTACAATCCACATACTTATATTTGTTTACAATCAAATGCCAAAAAACTACTTAGATAGAGCAAAATACTTACTTTTGGATGCCAAAAATGTTGACTCGATGTACCGCCGCCTGTTATCACTAGCCAACTGTCAAATCTTTGTGAGTGGCGGGAAATCAGTGCTGCCACCTTAAAATAAGATCACCCACCAAATTCGTTCCTAAACCACCGAATTAATGCAAGTGGCTCTTTCAAAACCTGGCTCTTTCATGCCACTTCTCCCCTACATACCTATATTGTGTATAGGGTTGGTCCAGCGCCGTTATATAATGTGCGATATCAATTCACAAACGAGGTATGTATAAAACTTTTTTCACTACTGACACTGTATGTATTATTACACTACATTTGATTTTATAAGATTTAAATATTGTCGTCAAGGATCATGGTAGTTCATGCTCATCTTGCAAATTCTTTGTAATATCTACTAGATAGTAGCCTGTTGTCAAACTGACAAACTAAAATAAATGTAAAAGAAAGCAGATTCCAGCGTGATAATCACACATTTTTCGACATTTTCTGTCATATCCATAAAAAATGACGAGATAGAGCAATAACTTTATCTGCGATGAATTCGGCACATCTTTTTCCATCTAGTTCTGAGGAATAACGAATTAGTTAACTTGGATTTCATGAGGAGAATATTTTGTGAAGGTGGACGACACGGACTGGACTGGACAGTAATTGAAAAATTGACTGTTATGATAATTCACACAACTCTTTGTAGGTATGGGAAAGATTGAAGTTCTGCAAAATATCTTGCGTAATCAGGAGTTTTTAAGAATCATACCAGCAAGAACATCTTATATTTAAATAAATGTTATTTACTGACTTCTGTGTCGGGCTGTATTTGACTAAATTTTTGTGCAACTGGAATGTGGAACCAGCTTACCATATCTCAAGAGTGGCAGTCGATGAACTTCGCAAAAAAATGCATAAGCACAATATTTGTATCACTGTACCATATCTACAGATTAGAAGCCAATAAGTCATCGTTCAAGTTTAACCTATTTATCGATATTGGTCTTAGTGTGTGTGTGGTTGGCTTGAACAGCCGCAGTCAGCTCGTAAGTATTAGATTACAGCTAGTTACAACTAACAGTAGTATCACAACATTTCGCTCTAGATTTGACAATGTCAGACGGTGACGGTGTATTAAAACAAAAACCGTTAACGTAGCAAAAAAACTTTATTTTAACATTAATTGCTGCATGCAATGCATAGGATTTGGATCCGAAGTAAAAAGAATTAGGTTTATCCCGATTCAGAGATATAATACTGAATGTATGCTTAGTGTTACAGACTGACATAGCAATTAAAATTTCTATAAAACGTCCGATTTCATAATGTTTTTTTATGAAATGAGGAAGCTTAGATTCTTTCAAGATAATATGGCACGAGTATTATGTAAAAAACCTGAAAAACGTTAAAAAAAATAAAGAAGTGTCATCTTGTAGACTAAGTAGTTTTTAGTGTACAAATAGTACATTCCTCGTTTGCTCGCTATGATCGCTATTCGCTGACGTTTCAGCAACGCGTTCAGCTCACAACAAGTGTACAACAGTTTGTGCTAAGTCAACGTCTTGTATAAAAACCTACGTATGTGACAAAAAAACTACTTTTTCTTATTCATTCTGTAAATTACATATGTTGAATTTCAAAAATGCGAGATATAAGAAATAATTATATTCACTGTACACTGTCGAATTACAAGTCATATAAATGCTAACGGTAATTAAACACAACGCGGGCGCGGTGGTGATTTCCCGTAGTTCTCCTCGAAGTTTTTGAATACACAAAAAAACGTAAAAAACGTAATTTATAACTTTGAACAAAACCTGTCTTCAGAAAGGACACTCGGCTTCACAAAACATATGCAACCAACAATGCCTGCAGTTTAGTTGAGCCATTCCTCCATAGATAGATGCTCACAGCAATCCTGGTGAACAAACATGGAATGACTGTTTGCACCCTAAGAACTACCTAGTCTGCAAAATGACATTTTATAGGTTTTTTGACCTTTTATAGGTTTTTTACCTAATACCCGTGCGGGCTGGTAGGCTGTGATGTGCATGATGACATAGTTACTGAGACTACCCAGAGGAAGATACTGCCACAAATAATCAGTTTTTGACTGTCAGCTTGACATCATCGTCGAATTTCTCTGCTAACGTTTTGGTTGTGTTTTCATTCTGCTAGCATTAAAAGCCATTTTACAATACTTTTTACCGGTTGTTGAAATACTCAAGTAGCGTAGCTACATAACGAGCCTTGCTTAATAGTAGTTATTTCTCATTTTCTCTCAAATATAAAGTTTGATTGTTTGACATGACGGAGTTGGTAGTATATAATTTTAAGTCATGTCAATACTTATCTACCAACCATTGACAGCTGTTTCATGCTTTTTGTCAACTCATCAACATGGTCGGGGGTATCTGGGAAAACGAACGAAAGCATAGCATATCCTTTATCCAAAGTATGAGATGTATTCAAATATGACGGTGCAACGGCGATGAGGCCACATCCTCTATCGCTAGTGGTCTATCAAACGCAATCTAAGATATTTGCTGTTCCAAACGATAGCTGCTATATAATCTCGCGGAGTGATCGAATCTGGTAATAGATCGCGCCTTGCGCTGTCTCATTCCAATATTAATAATAATAATTAATATTTAATATTTTAGTGATAATAATTTGTATCAATAATAGTATTGAAAAGAATATCTAAGACAAATCAGCAATAGACCATAAAAGAACAAAGTGTTCTACCGGAATTGTCGACTAGACCATCTGCTAATACCAGTGGGAAAATGATGAAAATAAAGTATTTGCCGATGATATATGTTGTAATTCACTGTATTTTCCTAGATACAATGTCAGTGCGGGATCCTCGAAATATCACTGTTATTTCAATACTGTGTCTGCCACACATTAACAACCTCCTCTCATATTCGATAAATACAGCTCGTGGATGTTCAGCCTTCGTAACTGATCCAATATTAAAAAATCAGACACGAATTCCTGTTCTGTTATTTTTTTAACTTAACAAATTTCAAGGTATAATCCTGCAGTTATTAGCGAAAAGAGCTCCCAACGCTTATCAAGCATCCCATTAGTCCCGCAGCAACCTCCAGGAAAGTTTTGTGCATTCAGTGTATATGGGGGCCTCAAGGGTTGATAAGAAAAGGTGGGAACGATAAAGCCGAGTAGAGGGCTTATCGTGATATCATTTCTAGGCACGGACGGGGAATTTTAAAGATTTGGCACAGAGTGTGGTAAGTGGTTGTTAGTTATTCACGTAACATAGGCGGTCCTTTCCGGAGTGATCTCTCACATAAAGAGGACTCGTCCAATATGTGTGGGGACGCATGACCGGTCATAATTTGATGATGGAGATTGTGGATGCGGTTATCTTTTTCTGCTTCCACTCTCCCTACACTATGTACGGGGTGAACTAAATGTTGAGACCTTTATTTTCACACATAGTCCTCAGCGTTCATTTGATAAGGACTTTCAAGTACCTCCCTGTTGCATGTTGCTTGCAAATGTCGATGTTTGCCATCTCCTCCCTCAATTTGGACGATTCTGAGCTGTTTGAGTTTCCTACTGTGTACACCTGCTCCTTCCTACAATGGAGATAAACATGTGGCGCGACTTGGAAACATCCAGAAAAACCATATGTACTTTCCCAAAGCCTCACCCTACATTAAAGACACTTACAAGTACATCATTGCAATAGAAATAAGCCATTCCTGATTCTTCCGAATCCGATCTATGAATAAACAGTTCGGTTTCCTACAAGATCCGCGGCCTGTGTTAGATGACTATGCATGTCGTATCTTTTCAGCTAGTAATGTGCTGAAGGCAGGGCCGCATTTAGTATCATAGATCTTTTCTAATCGCTCGGATATGTTATAACTTTGATGTGCATAATAAACTTCATAATATTACAATTTGTTATAAAGAGGTACTGGGTAATACATATCGGAAACAGTTACTAAACTGCAAGGAATTCGTTATATAAGCTCTCTAGGAATACTAAATAAGGTAAAACGACCCAGATGCTCTTTACCATAAACGTGACAAAGACAGGAACTACAAAGTGAATGCAATCTCTTTTGTTAACTAAAGAGCTCGTATTGAGCGAAATTTTTTAAAAATATACGCATTAATTTAAAGTGGTTATTATATTTATCAATCAGACAAAGGATTATAATATAGTTTGATTGGCTACCTGTTAGCAATTTGTATCCGCAACAGCTTTTAGAGTTAGATACAGTTTTGTTCTAAAGAAAACTGAAAGCAAATTCACTTTATTTTTTGGAATAACATTTTTTTTATTATGTGCATGTCTGCACATTTCATGATTGTTTTAGCTCATTTAAGGATAAATTACGGAAATTAGTTAAATTATCAAGAAGTCCATACACAGTTCTTCAATATTCAGATTTATGTTGCAGGCGGTTATTGGAAAACTACAAAAATTGAGAACAACTCGAAAACGCTTGATTTCCATACGTATAAGGTGTGAAATTTGTTGCATTGTATTTGTGTATAATCATCAATAAGTGTAATTTACTGTAGGCTGAGTTTCAGAAGAGCATTTAAGTGAAGATAAAAACAAGGAGTTAGTATTTAAGCACCGGATGCTGAGTCATGGCAGTTTCAAACATTGCTGAGAAGCAAGTAAATCCAGCAGTTTCCCTGTGAGTAGACGATATGGTCAATGCAAAGATAATGGGCGGAGAAGCTGTCTACCGCCCTAATACGTAAAGACGCCGGAATAAAAAAAGGGACTTAAACTACCGGAAAGTCTATTTATAAAATACACTCCACAGCCCCGTAATAATCAATTAGCTAATTTTATAGCTCCTCCACTCGGCTGTTAATAAAAATCCACGTTGAAAAGCGTCAGTTTATCAATAATTAGGAGGTTCATTTGTTAAGCAAAAACCGATAATTGAGTCAGAGAAACTTTATTTATAAATATAAGTTAAATCACAAACTATTTTTTTAATTTTCAGCATAGCTACCATAAACGTTTAAACATTTATCAAGTGGTAGCACCAGCTATAAGATCCCGTTGTAAAAGAACGATGCCACCTGGCCGTTAAACCAGTTAGTAACTGTTATTATCAACGTGTCATCATTTTCCAAGCGCTTTCTACCAATTAATTCCTTTCGTTTTGTAAAAAGAGGGCTGTATGGTGAATGGTCCAGTAATTCCCGCAGAAACTGCGTGTGCTCTTGCTATAACGCGAGGCCGAGCGCTGTCGTGAAGCAGACGCCGCTAGAGAACAATCTACGCCGATCGTTTTGAATTGCAGAATATCGCGCCTGATTCAACAAGCTACTGGTGAACCCCAATAGGAATAATTTTTCTGCGTCTTAATACCGAATTTCTAAGCGTACTTCAAAACTGGTGGATTTGCTGATTGACATGGCGACAAACAAAGCATTATAGCCCCACAACCGACGTCGACAGAGACCTGAAATGTAATCATGGCGTAGTGTCTGAAGTTAAACGGACGTCACGTGACACGATGCGCGAGCACGATGCGCAATTACTTCTAACTTTAAGTATGGCTTTCGTAGTTATTATCCGGCCTTCTCTGCATTATTTATTTGGTCTACAATGTCTACAAGAGCGGATTTCCAGTGCCTTTGAATGAATTGAGAGTTGTATGCACCCAGAATGTGACATTACTAAACAGCTCAAGCAAATGTGTACGGAAGCCTAACCTGTGTTTTGATGTTCTGCTTTGACGTTGACAGTTTGTGATCACACTGCAAGAAAATCTGCATTCTTTTGTGTTGTTATTTCTAACTCCAAACTATTCATTTCTTACGGGTCTTCTAAATGAGGAGAACGGAGTTTGTCACACAAAGCTCTAACGATGAAGGTGAGAGAAACATTTTGCCTTTATTTTCAGAAGCATTTTCAAACTATCCAATTGATGCCTGATGACGGTTTTAAAATGCTAGTGCGAGACGTCAGGGGTCTGTGCTTTTATTGTAAAGCTGTAAATGAGTCGAATTCGTATTTTAGTCTAGACCATTGATTCCCAAAGTGGTCTATATCGACTCCTAGGGGTCTATGACAACCTGCAAGGGGTCTACGTCAGCGAAAAAAAATTTGGGGTCCATGAAATGAATATGGGGGTCCACGATAGTGGATCTCAACACATATACTGATAGTACCTATTTACTTACATCATACTATCCTATAATATCAAAACATATACATTATTTATAAAAGTACCTATGAAATAAAAAAATTTATTATATATGTTTATATTATTGTGTAAGTTGTAGGATGTTGGTATTCGCTTTGTGGTCGCAATACATTTTGAACTTGTAAAAACCTGAGAGTCGCAGTCTCAGAGCTTCGCTACCTTGCACTGACTTGTTCAATTCGTCACTCTATAAATACGAATATGGGACAAATACGTTTATTCGTTTCCTGAATCTTGAAAAGGAAAGTGCTAAGAAAATATTTTAAAAAATATAAACAGATAGTATATCACACAAATTATAGTGAGTCAGTGTTATTTTGTTTGAGAGTGCTGGAGAAAAGTAAGTACATTATTTTTTATTAAATTTTAGTTTTGTACTTAGCAAAGATAGATAAATTACCCCAATCATGACTTTAGTTATTAATAGTTAAATATTCAATCATGCAAAATTACATGAATACTCCTCAATAGTTTCTTTTTGAAAGTTTTAGCAATCGGTAATATAATTACAGTGCAATCTCCGTAATTCGAGCTAATTGTTGCAAGAAGATGTTCGAATTATGGAATGTTTTCGGGAAAATCAAAAAATATTTTTAATATACAGCTGCTGGATTTTCTGTCTTATTTAAATAATTTAATTTTGCCCACAGGTGACTGATGCCATGTCCGAATCTAAAAAGAAATGTAAACAGTACAGTGTTGATTATTTGAAATTTGGCTTCATTCCATCATTGCCGGAAAAACAATCGCCTATGTGCCTTTTATGCAACAAAGTTTTGGGTAATGACGTTATGAAACCATCTAAACTGCAAGATCATCTGAGAAGATGCCACCCTGATAAAACAGAGAAAGATTTAAAATACTTTCAAACACTCAAAGATAAATTTCAGAAGATACCTATACTGGACAGAATGTTCGCTTCGACGTCACAAAGAAATGATGATGGTTTGCGGGCATCTTACAATATCTCGTTACTTATAGCAAAATCCGGAAAATGTAATTATTTGCAAACGACCCATTTCTCTATACAACTGGACGAGTCAACTTTACCTGATAATGCAGCATTATTATTGGCATATGTTCGTTTTATTATGAATCAAGAAATCTACGAAGAACTGCTCTTCGCAAGAAATTTGATAACCGACACTAAAGGTGTATCAATATTTCATGTTTTGAAGGATTACTTCATTGAAAAAGCAATTCCTTCATCAAATATAATATCAGTAGCTACAGATGGAGCACCTGCCATGGTTGGACGTTATCGTGGATTTATAAGCTATTTAAAACAAAATGTGTCAGGGGTGTTAGCAATACATTGCGTCATCCATCGACAACATTTAGTTGCTAAAAATTTGAGTGTTAGATTTCATGAATCACTTCATTTAGTCATTGATGCAGTAACCGAATCCGCAGCAATGCGTTGAATACGCGGTTATTTGCGCAGTTGTGTGAAGAAAATGACGAACACTTTCATCAATTACTCCTTCACACTGAAGTACGCTGGCTGTCGAAAGGCTTATGTTTGACAAGATTGTTTGCACTTTTTGAGACTATTTTAGAATTTCTGGATACTAAAGATAAAATTTTAAAAGAAAATTTAATGAAGAGGAAAACAGACATCGCCTATTTAACAGATTTGTTTACAAAATTTAATATGGTTAATTTGCAATTACAAGGCGACAGTTTAAATTTGATTAAAACAAAGTCCATCTTATCAGCGTTTCTTGCCAGAGTTAAACTAATGAAGCAAAATATTGGACGGGGCGAATTTTCTCAGTTCCCCAATTTGTCACAGACAAGCTGCTAGGAAGACGACATTTCAACTTACGTTCAACATTTAAATGCCCTCTATTCAGATTTTGAATCTAGGCTTGAGGATATTCTGACTATGGTAATACCACCGTGAATAGTTAATCCATATGGTGACATAGAAGAAACGAATGTCATAATACAAGAGGAACTGACTGAACTAAGTACAAACGAAGAACCTAAGGTTCAGTTTAAAAACGGATATCAGCAATTCTGGCTGCAAAACAACATACCCGTTACTTATCCCGTTACCTAGTGGAAAGGGGGTTCAGCGCTGTTAGCAATCTCCTAACGAAAAAAAGAAACAGACTGGACATCATTAGCCGAGGAGATGTAAGATTAACCCTTACAAAATTGACGCCAAATGTTGATAATTTATTATTAAAGCATCAGGTTCATCTTTCTCACTAAAAATATTGACTTATTGCTTATGTTATTTTATTTATAGTTTATTTTATGTTTATTGGTGTCTGACCAATAAATTCCCGCATTGGGAATAAGTGCCCGCATTGATTTTTTTAAATAGAAAATATTAATTTTTTTTTTAATTATTCTGAAAATTCAAGGATAGGTACACACTAAAATTCGTTAACTTTTTGCCTATTTTTAGATAACTTAAACGTATAAGAAGCGGAATTTAATCAAACTAACAGTGAAATTATTGTAGAACATACGTTTATGTTATAATTAATAAAAGAACTCGCTTATTGTACTATTTTAAGTAAAAACTTTTTTTTTATTATTTTTCACTTTTTTGTTTATTTTATCCCTCTTATTTTTTTTTCAATGCGGGCACTTATTGGTCAGACTCCTGTTTATTTAATGTTACGTACATTTTACATAACAGATACAAAATTTTATTTTGAGTAGTTTTAATTTAAATTCAATTAATAAATGTATAAATTAACATGTGTTTTTACTTTAATTTTTTAACACTAAACTTCACTACAGTTAGAAATTTACAGGAAATCAATATCAGGTAAGTAGGGGGTCGACCCAACACGGAAAAACATGGCAGGGGGTCTACGACACAAAAAAGTTTGGGGAACTCTGGTCTAGACATTCAAAATTATTTTCAAATTGTAGATGAAGCCAACTGCAAGCCGCTATGAACTTGCCTAATTATGATATCTTGTGGAACATCTTAAATGTATGTTGTTGTGACTCTGGATCATACATTATCAGTTTTTCACCATCCTCCATTGTCTAGTAGCGGTTTAATGTGAGCTTGATGCAAAAAACAAAAACTGAAAAATCGTAGCCTAATAATTTTGACACATTGTCATTTCAGTTATACCCATATTTCGGAGCGTATAACACCGAGTAAGAAGCTAGTGCATGAGGGAGCAGTTACTTCAAAAATGAGTAGCTCGGGTGCATGGCACTATAGAGCAATGTAAAGGTATTGCCAGGTGTTGAACAGTAATGAGCTGCTCCGAGGAACACAAATGAGGCACTTTAATGCGCCTATGAATATTAAGATGTCGACAAATGCAACTAGCTACACATAGACAATGACATATTTTAAATGACATAATCAATGCGCCCATCGCTGGTCCTGCAAATTGACGATGTTCTGTTTCTACCATAAATCGGGGCATTCCATCCATACAGTTACCACTTTGACGGTTTGTGGTAAAGCCCTTATGTATACCTAACAAGCCCCACCGTTTCATCAACTTACCCTCTCCGGAGGTGTGCGAATTCGGTGAATCAACAGCCGGTAACAAAAGAGAATCGCCTGGTTAATTGCATATTTGTACAGCTTGGTACGGAATCAGAAAACACGCCACCATACTTCCTTCCAAAGGACAGCGGGGCGGTTAAAAAGAGACGGGGGTGCGTGGAGAACACCACCATGGCGTGGTTATTTGTAAAATATGCCATTCACTGACACTTGTAACATGGGACCTGCATACATGCAATGCAACTATTAGGACGGAGCAGTGCTAGGATTTGTACAACGGGTGGGGTGAAGTCGGCCTAGACACGAAAATATCACTCGAATCGTATAATATTGACAATTGGTATTAAATCCATTGTTGTGGATTAGCATACGGGGTGACACATGAAAGATCAATTATCCCAAAAGTCAAATTCAAATAATATCCATTCATCGTTATATAAAAAATATAACACTATGTAGAAAATATATAACATTATACCCTGTGTGTGTTCTTAGATCTAGCAAAAGCCTTCAGCGCGGTAGACCACTTGCATACAGGGTTTTTCAGTTTATTGTTGCATAACTTTAAGATTCGATAGAACTTTTAAAATTAATGCATAAAGTCTGTATAAACATGGGTCGAAAAATGCGTGGCTTCCGAAATACAGGGTGTATAAATTTACTTTCCAAAATAATTTTTTTAAAATATTTCGAACAATATTTGATTGATAACAGTGAAAATTGGTAAACAAGAGTTTTTTGGTATGACAAAACGAACCATGGGCATAGTTTTACTGTAGCCGCTAGAGGGCGCTCTCTACTGTACCTGTAGTGTATTAAAATGACCGAAAAACATTTCTTAGTGCGATTTTTTGCTTTTTGAATAAAAAAACTGATTCCTCGCACTTTTCAACATAAAAAAGCTCTCTTGTATATTTTCGTTATAGTTAGCCGTTTTTGAGATATTTCGATTTTTAAGGTTCGATGCATTTTTAATTATTTGTGATAAAATAACGTTAAAAAGTCAGTATCTCGATAATTTTTAGAAGTAGGCTGTGCCTGCAAATATTTTTGAAGTTGAAAGCAGAATAAGGTTAAACGTCAATTAGTTGACAGTTAGTTTTGTTGTCTGTTGAAACCTGAAACGTTCTTTTGCGATTGTGAACGCACGAAATTTAGTTTCTTTTACCTATTTTTTTTTTTTGTAACTTTTATAAAAATGCCATTTTTATTCTCCAATCAAGAGTTGGCGGTTATTCATTTTGTGTATGACTTTGTAAATGGAAACGCAGCAGAAGCAGCCAGAGAATACGCACGAAGATCTCCAAACAGACGACATCCAACTCGCTCAGTATTTGTAAGAGTGCATCGCCAAATAATTGAAAATGGTTTTGGAAATCTCCAAAGAGATCAAAACATAAATGTTCGTCAGCGCAGATTTACCCGTATGATTCTGCTTGAGTTTGATAGAGATCCGACCACAAGTGTTAGGAGAGTTTCTGGTGCCTTGGGAATTTCAGCAAGCCATGTTCACCGTGTTCTTAGAAATGACCATAGACGTCCTTACCATTTGCATCCTGTGCAAGGACTACAGCCAGGGGACGGAGAATGAAGAATCACATTTTGTCAGTGGATTCTTGATAGAACTGATAATAACAGGTGGTTTTTAAGTAACGTTTTATGGACCGATGAGTCATGCTTCACTAGACGTGGAGTGGTAAATTTTCATAATCAACATATTTGGTCGCATGAAAATCCGCATGCAGTTCGGGAAAGAAATTTTCAGCATGAATTTAGTGTGAACGTGTGGATTGGTATCTACCGTAATCGACTATTTGGACCCTACCTTTTGCCTGCAAGGTTAAATGCTGCGACCTTCTTGGAATTTTTAAAGGCTGAACATGCAAATATGTGGGATGATGTTATGTTAGATTTAAGAAGATTGGCCTGGTTCCAGCTTGATGGTTGTCCAGCTCATTATTCGAGAATAGTTAGAAACTGGCTGGACGAAAATTATCCAGAAAGATGGATCGTCCGTGGAGGACCAGTCACCTGGCTTCCACGATCCCCTGACCTAAATCCATTAGATTTCTTTGTGTGGGGATTTCTAAAAGAAAAAGTGTACCAGACTCCCGTAACCACAAGAGATATATATGCTAATAGACAGAATCAGGAATGCATGTGATGAAATAAGGCCTTATTTGAATAATGCTATACCACGTTCGATCACTCGTAGATGTGAATTGTGTATTGAACAATTGGGTTTACATTTCAAGCAACTACTTTAGATTTTTTATGTTTGTCCTAACTATCCAATAGCATTTTAGTTGTAAATAATTAATTTAATTTGTTAAAAATAATATTGGAAAATTAAACAAATTAATATTCTGTTTTTTTGTGTTTATTTGGAGTTAGGAATTATTGCTGTGTTTAAAAACACAATCTAAACGATCATCTTAATTATTTGTCATGCTCATCGAAAACGTAAAAAAAATATTATTTTCCCATACATAATTAAAAATGCATCGAACCTTAAAAATCGAAATATCTCAAAAACGGCTAACTATTACAAAAACTCACAGGAGAGCTTTTTTGTTGAAAAGTGCGAAGAATCAGTTTTTTATTCAAAAAGCAAAAAATTTCACCAATAAAAAATTTTCGGTCATTTTAATATACTACAGGTCCAGTAGAGAGCGCCCTCTAGCGGCTACAGTAAAACTATGCCCATGGTTCGTTTTGTCGTACCCAAAAACCCTTGTCTACCAATTTTCACTA